GGCCCTACGGGCAAACCAGAGGGTCGGGAACAGACTTCTGGTTTGCCCGTAGGGCCGTAGAGCTTCCTGAAGGCTCTGGAGGGCAAAAAACGGCCCTACAAGCAAACCGGAAGTCTGTTCCCAAATTTCCAGTTTGCCCAAAGGGCTGGTTTTTCACGGTCCGGAGGCTTCAAGGAAGCCTCAGGAGGGGGAAAAATGGCCTCAAAAGAAGGCTGAAGTCTGCCTGCCAACGCACGTTTGCGCGCTGGAGCTGACAGGGCAATAATGTCTTGCGTGCCCTAACAAATGACTCCACTTGTCACCTGTAGCACATGTGCCATATGTTCGCCATCACGGTCTTAGGCATTGTTCTTGGCACTAAACTCCATAGACCAGGAAACATCTTGTGAGGACATCCACAATATATTGCAATAACTTGGGGACTTTATTTTAGGTGATCATTCTCAGGCCTTGAATAGGTAGAGTGGTGGCCTAGAAGTGGAACTCTCGCCCCACAGTCAGGAGGCTATGAATTCAATCCTAGGTAGCAGCAGCTATTTCTCTTAGGAAATATCTGCTGCGAACTCCGCCTAGGCATCAGGAAGGGCATCCGGCCAGAAAACGCTCAGCTCCATCCAGTTGCCCCGACTCCACCCCGATTATAGGGTCATTAAAAGAAGAGAAAAATTCTCAGGCCTTGAATAAATAATACTGAGACATGCTTGGATGGACTTCTCTCTCTGAGCATGGGACCGTTACCTTATTTAATCCTTCCTCCCTAAAGAAAAGGTGCCTGTGCTAATGTTTGACTTAATGCCACTTATGAACCTGTTGAGAAGAACTCTCTGGCTTCTTAGTCAATGTTTTCATCTATGCCAGAGGTCTTCAAACTTGACAACTTTAAGACTTGTGGACTTCAACTTCCAGAATTCTCCAGCCAGCTCTGCTGGAAGTTGAAGTCCACAATTCTTAAAGTTGCCAAGTTTGGGGACTCCTGATCTATGCTGTGTTCCAGAATAGCCTTAGGGTCTATTTGCTCATGGAATCCAACTTTAGCACAACAAAGCTTTGTTTTTCATTTTTCTTTCTGGTGCCTTTGAGTCAGTGTTGACTTTTGGCAACCACCCAGGCACATCCCTGCAGTCGCCTTGGCAGCATTTTCTGGAAGTGGGTCTGCCATTGCTTGCTTTCTCATTTGAGAGAGAGAGAGAGTGACTGATCCAAAGTCACCCAGCAGGCTTCCTCCCTAAAGCAGGACTAGCACTTCGGGGTCTCCCATCTTTTAGCCTGGGGGTCTTTAACTTCCTACGCCAAACAGGCTCTAAAGCTACATTACATCCGTGAAAATGTTGCCTGTATTTGGCCGTCACCCGACAAATGCACGAATGACAAAAGCGCGCCGACGAAACTGTGGCGAAAAAACCGCGACATCATAAACGCGCACACAACAACACGCTGACAAAACCGCACCCACAAAAGCGCGATTTAAGTTAAGGTAAGGGTTAGGTTCAGGGTTAGGGTTATTAGGTTGTTATTAGTTGTTTGCTGAAGGCACGCTTTTGTCGGCGCGCTGCTGTCAGCGTGCTTCTGCGCTCATTCGTCGATGCGATTTCAACCTTGCAGTTTTTTTCGCTGCGGTTTCGTCGGCGCGCTTTTGTCCAGCATGCATTTGTTGGTGAACTGTATTTGGCATGTAACTGCAGTTCACAACTGTCGACCAAAGAGATCACTTTGGTGAATTTTTGCTGGCAAGGTTTGTTTTGAGGGCTGGGGATGGTTTACTGTTGGTTTCTTTTCTTTGCAGGAAGTCTTCTGCTGGCCACCCACTCCCCAGAGCAAAAGTACCCTGTTTCTCTGAAAATAAGACCTCCCCGAATAATAAGCCCAATTGGGCTT